CTTTGCCACCTACACCAGCAATCCAACCCGCACCGAGCTCCACCGAGACGTCTCCGAACTTCTCTTTCCGGATCCTACCGCCAATTCTATCAGACGCTTCAAAGATCAACAAATCCTCAATTCCATTCTCAGCCAAAACCTTCGCCGCCGATAAACCTGTCCAGAATTACAAAAAACCCTTCAATTATAAGAGAACAATCTCAATCTTCTTTTTTTCAAATTATTATCTCATAGTAACATGTAATATGCACATGTTTTTTCGTTTTAAAAAGAGAGTTAAATATATTGTCGGGTAGAATTGTATAATGTTACAGACCGGAGACGCCGGCGCCGATGATGATAACAGATGACCGGGGAGAGGATTCCATTAAAGAAAGAGAGTGGGGAAATAAAGTATAAGATACGAAGACAAGAAGGAGAAAGGAAATGAACGAAACTTTTGCGTTGCGAGCTTTGAGTAGTGTTGGTGAGAAAGGAGAAATAGCGGGAGTCCGTTTATAGAGGGGGTTTTTTCCAGCATTTTTTATATTTTATTTAAATTCCGAGTTTTAATAGAAATTCCGGTTTTTTTTAAAGCTTAATACAAAAATAAGTACATAAATTATACCTTAAAAAATATTTTTTATTCCATAAAAAATTCTTTGTAAAAAATAGGTGTTTAATATTTTCAACGTTAAGTACCCAGATATTAACCGCCATTAAAATCTTCGTTGAGTAACATGTGTGGTAATTTTGAGAATTTATTTAAAAAAAATTAAAATTAAAATATTTTTTATTTGAAAAAAACTCAAACAACACTCGTGCTTCCCCTCTTCGTTCCCTCTTCCCTCTTTCAACTGTCATCGGTCAGCCAGTCATGATCATCGTCGTCATAAATACCAGCGTCGACTCTCGATCAAACACTCGTTAGCATTTCATTATAGTCTGCCATTGTTTGTCGTGGAGAAGTGTTCAAATATTCATTGGATTTTAAGCAATCGTCGTTGTTCTTCGACGATTCTGGTGGATTCCAACGTTCATAAGTCATGTCACCACAATCATTCGAAGCACCGCACAATTCCGATCAAAATCCAACCATTCTACGATGATGATGATGATGATGTTCAGCGATGGTTAGTGATGGGTTGAAATGAAAATCTTTAGTTTTTTTAAAAAAAAAATTGGTAAAAATTGAGTTTTTTTTATAAAAAAATCTTTTTTTTAAATCTTTTTTAAAAATAATATTTTTATTGTTAAAAGTTAAAAAAATAACGATTGGCACGTAAAAATGTAACTGGGAAAACGTTAGTCACTTATTTTTAACGAAAAAATCTTTAGATACTAAAATATTTTTCGAGAGATACTTTATACACTTATTTTTATATTAAACATTTTTTAAATGCTATTGTGCCATTAAAGAATAACTAATTATTAGGAATATATTTTTTTAGTAAAGTTAATAAGTTGTTGATAAATTATGTTAAAAAATTTATGAGGATTGAAATTTTTAAAAAATTAAAATGAATATTATTTTTTTCTATTATAAAACGAATAAAATGTGATTAGTTGTCCTTAATTATTGTTATAGAAATGATATAGTGCATTAAATTGATGAGTAATGTTATATTTAATCCCTCGATCGTAATTAAGATTTTATTTTATTTTTTAAATATTTTAAATAATAATTTTAAGAAAATAGAAATATATAAAAATACAATTATTTTAAATATAGAAATAGTTTTATAATTTAAAGATTTAAAATTACATAACAAAAATAAATAATTTGAGAATTTAATTATAAAATAAAAAGTCATCACGTCGAGGTAACAAGTTTTAAAAAATCTATATTTTTTATTAAAATTTTATCACATCGGAGTGATAAGTTCTAATAAAAATATTTTTTTTTTAAAATTATCATCCCCACGTTACAAGTTTCAAGTCACTCTAACAATTGTCGTAGTCCCTAAAATAAGATATCTAATATCATAAATAATTAATCCGCCTACAATATTGAGTTACAAGTCACTGTAGCAAACGTCGTAGTTCTTAAAATAAAATATCTGATATCGTATTGACCTAAATAATTTGTTCGCCTACTATATTGGACCAATTTTACCGTTCTCAAGACGTCTAGTGGGACTGTCTACTAACCCAATATCTTGTGGGTTGGATTAGGGTAACAACCCAATAGCCATGTTGGCCAACTTTCCATGATGTGATTCGCATTCCTGCTTCAACGCTAGACTCGGATCCATGAACTACCCTTGCGTAATGTCAAGATTAGCTCAATGTTAGTTAATATAATCTTTTTGATTTATACCTTTTTAGAGTATTTTAATTTTGTTATGTTTCAATTTAGTCAAAATATTTCATGTTAGATAGAAATAATTAGTTGACTAATGGTTGACGCATGTTATTGAGGTAATATTTTTATATATTAAATTGTTGACATGCCATATGTTATCTAAGATGATAATGTGATTTGTGATACATCACCTAAGGTGATAACATGACACGTGACTCGAATAATAATGTCACATTAGTACTTAAACACATATAAAAATGACATATAAGTAATATGCGTTGATTGTTAGTTAGTTAATGATTTCTATCAAAGAATGATAATTTTAATTAAAAAAAATTAATTTATTAAAGGTTAAAACAGTCTAAAAATAGAAATTAAATGATAATTTAGGGAAATGTCGGGCCTGTTTTTTTTTTAATAGAAACGATTAAGCAAACATGTAAGAAGGTTAGCCTACATTTCCTGCCACTTTCCAGAGCGTCGATCATCGGACGAAATAGTCTGCAAGTTCAACAGCCTCAGGAGGGTAACAAAAAAAACATGCAAACTAGATGAGCAATGCCTTAATATTTTAAAAAAAATGCAAACGCCTGGGCTAATTTTTTATATTGTGCCCTTATATTTTTAAAAGTAAAAAGTAAACGAGTTAAATGAGTATTTTTAGATGGTTTATGGATCAAGTACTTATGTGATAAATGAATTATTTTTATTTTTTAAGGATCCATGTTCAAACACCATAAATATCAGGGGTGTGAGTATTCAATGTCAAAAGATTATGAGTTATCTTTTAACATATATTGTCTTGTATTTACCTCAGATTAATAAAAAAATGATTTGAGTGTGTCAAGGTTCATTTATTATTTCAAATTAAAATTTAGTCCATATACTTTATTTTTAAGACTATGAGTTCATGTATTATTTTATTTAAAAATTTGATTCCTTTCCTAATTCATATTTAAGTTTAGGGTAAACTAAATGTTAGATATTTTTTTTCATTGAATTCAAAAAACATAATATTTACTCAATTTTATTTTTATTTAATTAAGATTTGATCACTTTTGTTTTTATTTAATTAAGATATGTCTTTTTGATTTAATTGTCGTTGCACCTTTATTGGATAGTTGATGTGACATAGTGAATTTATAAATTAAAAAGGGTAAAGTAGACAAATGCCACTAATGTTTAAGTAAATTTTTGTTTTCCCCATTGAAGTTTCAACAATAACAAATTGGTCACTAAAACATCAAATAGGTCATTGAACTATGAATTTACATCTAATTTATTCCAAAAGCTTCCTAATTTTTTGTTTATCATTTGAAATATTCGATTGCTTCATGTAAAAAAAGTTAATTTTTAAGTTTTACTTTTTAAATATAAAAATATGCATGTATAAATTGGAAAAAGAAGAAGGAAAAACTAGAAAGCTTTTGGGTAAATTAGATATAATATTATTGTTCAAAGACCTATTTGATGTTTTGGTGAGCAATTTGTTACTTTCGAAATTTTAGTGCGGAAAACGAAAACTTACTCAAACATTAATTACAATTTGTGTAGTTTACCATTTTAAATTTTATAAATTCATTGTACACATAAGCAATCCGTTAAAGGTCTAACAACAGTTAACCCTTAGTGATCGCATCTTAATTAATAAAAACAAAAGTGACCAAATATTATGTTTTTTGAATTTCGTGAGGCAAAGTTTATAAAACTTAAACTAAAGATATAATCTTATAGTTTATCCTTAAGTTTATCATTAATTGTTAATTTGACAATTATAAAAAAAAGGAAACATTTTATAACTTCTTACGTTTACAATTTTATCAATTTAGCCCTTAATATTTCAAAAATAGAATTAAGAATTGAACAAATATAGTTTTTCAACTCTCTATTTTATAGATTTTTAGGGGGCAATTTGATAAAAAAAATTATAAACGTAAAAGATTATAAAAATTATCTTTTTTTAAGTTGTGGGTTCATCAAATAATAAAATTGAATAAAAATTAGGATATAGCCTTAGATTTTCAATTAAAAAAATAATATAGGGACTTAAGTTTGTAAAAGTAAAATATATGACTAATATTTAAATTTTAAAATAATACATAAACATTTGGCGTATTTAAACTTTTATAAACATATACTCAAAAAAATGTAATAAAGTTAGAAAACTCCATTAATGTTTTGATTTCATATTTTCTTTTACTATTGAATCATTATTAATCACAAGTTTACCCTTTTTGCATAAATTATAAAGTTAAACTTAATAGCTCTTAATTAATAGGGTATACATAGGTGAACACAAATACATTTAGTTTATAACATTAACTCATCCATAATTACAACTTGGTCTTATATTTTTTTTCTTTTACCGAAGTAAAAAGTTGAGTTTGAAAGTAGTTTATACTATTAACTCATCCATAATAACATTAACTCATCCGACGTTAATCATTTGGGGCGCCTGAAAATAGACTATGTTGTTAGGATTGATCCCGTCCACCGTAACTATGTGTTATTAGTCTATCCGTTAAATTTTTAACGACGTGATACTAAAATAAAATAAAATAAAACTAAACGAGAAGTAAATCCCATCAAATGAATCATCAAAAATAGCGTTAGCATCTTCAAACCCTTTTTAAAATCTATTATGTATCCATCATAGTGAGCAATGGCAACATATTTCTCCATGTATGGTTTACACAGCTTACGAAGAGCCTCGACAACAACTAAATATACAGTCATAAAACCAACCAACACTCTTACAAGACCCTTCAATTACACATTAAATGCCTGATGTGCTGATCTAGGCAATCGGGTAAACCCGAACTTCATCCAAAATAGGACCGCAGAGAGACCCGAAGTCATCGGTCTTGGTGTGGTAGTAAGAGCTGTAGAATGTAATCCTTGTCCTGGCCGAATCTGCTTTGAACGTCAAGCCTGCAGCCCTGAATTCGCCCTTCCCTCTAGACGTGAAGGGGACCTTGGCCGTATGCTTGGCTGCGAATGCCTCCACCATCATTTCCCCGTGGCAACCGTTCCGGGCGTCTCCAATGATGAACGTCATGTTGTATGTTTTGTTCGGGATGGTCCTCAGAATCTGAGCAATGGCGCTTTCTCTCCCAGCGACGAGCTCAACCGCCGTGTATCCGATGGGGACGTTGAAGTGTTTCGAATCGATGAACTTCACTGCTTTAAGTGATTCGATGATCCAGCCTGGGAGTGGGGACGTGAAATCCTCTTGTCGGGGAGGGAGCAAGACACCGTTTGAGGAATTTACAAGGCGATGAGGTCCCTCTTCAAAGCCATGGTTCTTTACCAAATTATCTGCAATGTTAGTGTTTGTTAGAGATTAAATATATAACTTTGCATTAATCAAACATATATATATATATATTGCAATAAAAAGCCTTCTTATTAAAGGTGTAATACTAAAATTAGTGCCCAATGTTTACTGAAATGAACATTTTGATCCATTTACATTTTATAATATTTTGGTCTTAATATTTAATTTTAAAGTAAAAAACCTCAACATTTAATGACATAATCACTTTAGTCTTAAACTGAAGAAATTGATAAATATTTATTAGAATATACATGTATATATTATCAGTACAACTTTTAAATAAAAAGAGCAAAATAAATTTTAGAACGAACATTATCAATAAAATAAGTAACTAACCTAAAAGATTCTGGTTTTCATGGTGAACATGTGTCGAGTATAACGTACATTTACTTTTATTCCTTTTTTTCAAAAACATTTTAACTATAAATATTTTATTTTAATGTAAAAAATCTTCTATTTTGAATAGTTATATATATTTTTTAACTAATAATTTACATCTAATTTTTTATCAAAATAACACGTTAGAATTAAAATGCTCTAAAAAATTGAAGTTATTATTTAATCAAATTTTAAAGTTATTTTCTTACTTTAAAATTTAGGATAAATTATGTATTTAATAATTAAATTATTAGTTTTGATATGTTCTAATACCTACACTTTTATTTTTTTCAAAAACACACCTAACCTTAGTTCTCATTTCATTCAAGTACCCACTATTAAAATCTTTAGTTTTTGTCTAATTTTCCTACCCAGATCAAAATTGATCGTTAAGTTTAAAAAAATATTAAAAGTTTACACACTAAAACATGTCAAAATTTATAGCAAGTTTAGATGCTAAAACTAATAGTTTATTAAGAAATGCATAGCTTATCCTAAAATGTGTACCTCTGGTAGGCCTTGGACGGACAAGCTCCTTAATAGCAACCGCATCCAACAATGGACCACAGGTGGGCTGTTCTTGGACGCCGGGATTGTGGAATACAACGGTGGCGTACTTGGTTTTGGGAATGAAACCCCAAGCATAAACATCGTCGCCGAAGCTGCTGTACAAGGTCTGCAACGGTATGTCCCCCGACTGCGTACCCACCGATACCCTCAACACCTCCTCTTGCGCACAGGTTCTCGATGCACCAAATGTCAGTGCGTACAGTACACCCGGTTTAACTGGTATTGTTTGCGAAATGGTGGCCTCGTTGCCGAGCTTCACGGCATGGACGCCATGAGCCACCGCATAATACATCCCGCCAGGTTGAGGCCCGCCCGAGATGTACTCCACTAACCCTTTGACGGTCCATTTGGGAAGCGCGTGTGGGCCTACAAGGACTGTTTTCTTTATGGATGTTGGTTTCGGCTGCTCTTCGAAGTTTCCATTTTCGAGGTACCCTGAAGCAGAACAAGAATGTATATTTGGGAAGGTTATTCAACAATATTGAACAAAGTCGAAACCTTCAAGCTGGTCTTGAAAAAGATGAAAAGAAATCTTACCTTCAAAGGGCTTAGAAGCGATTTTGGCATGAGCATAACGTCGAGCACCTCGTTTAGCTGAAACAAGAGTGTTGGGGCCAAAAGCACAACCAATGAGCAGCAGGGTAAATGCAAGCAATAAGGATGCTGATATCTTCATTCTTTTTACGGGGAAAATGAGAGAGAGAACAGAGGAGTGAAAGAGATGAGGGAGGGCTACGGAGGGTTTGGATGCATTTATAGCGAGAATTGAGAAATGTGTTGGAAAGAGAATTGGAAAAAAAAATTAGAAGAACTAAGTGTAAACCAACTATTTAGTAGCTAAAGAATTAGTTTTAATCTATTTCAGTATTTAAATTTTTAATATTTTTTAAAATCAAATGTAATAATTGGTTTTTATTTTATTTTAGTATCATATCGTTAAAAATTTAATGTGTTTTATATCTAAACTATCAAGTTTGGCCCGTTTAAGTACCTAAAATTAAAAAAAAATTAACGTTAAATTTTGAATAATTGTGTTAGAATAAAATAAAAACTAAACTTTAGATATGATTTTGAAAGAACTGAAGGTTTAAGTATTAAAACAGATAAAAACTAATAATTTATGTACTAACGTATAATTTACCCAATAATTAATTAGCATAAATGGCGTGTTAATCAAAGAAACAAAACTGATGCTTTACAGCAAGCAGACAGCAGCACATTAACGGATTCGGGTGTGGGAAATCTCAATTATTTCTAATTTTTCGGACCGACTTCTTCTCCATAATTAATGGCAAACACATTTCATTTCTCTTTTGCATATGATCATATTGTAGGCGTTTTTATCTAAAAATTATTCTAATAATAATTCAAATATTATCGATTTAATACTCTCTTTTTTGACATATGTACATAATGTGCAAATCAGGAAATGTACTTTATTGAGGTTTTATCTGAATTGACGTCACGGTAGAAAGACACGATTTATAAAACGTGCCTTCGCGAGGTTTTTTGACATGTCATGGAGGCACGAATCATGATATGCGCCTTCCATTATTACCCATGCTATTCTGGCCAATCACCCATCCCCTCCCCCTATAAATACTTCCCTGAATCCTAATATCAAGCCACAACAAAATTATTTTCACATTATTCCTTCTATCAATTCTCTCTATCAAGCTAAGTAGATTTTGTTATTGTTTTTAGAATGTAAAATTATTTTTATTATATTATATTTATTTCAAATTTAATAAGTTGATCAAATTTTATTGTATTAATTATTTTTTATTACTTTTACGGTTGTAAAATAGAATGTGTGATCATATCTCTAGACATTTTACCAATATGGTAACAATATTAAATTGTGATATTTAATTCTTGTGATTATTTTTTATTTTTTTAATATTAGTTTATATTTTAATTTGTATACTATTTATTTAAATAGGAGAATGACCGTGTATTAGAAAAAATTATTTGTTCATGAAGATATAAGACTCTTAATCTTTCAAACTCTCAAAATGAGGCGTATTTCAATTATTGTTTACTATGATGGATAAATTTGAAAAGATGAAACTAGCGTTGTCTTTGCATCAAATCATTATGTCACATTATCCTTCAAGAGAAACACCACTCTTGAGGAGATGATCACTCAAATTTCAAGGAAGATTCATGTTGGGAGTACTAGAAGATTGTCCTCACTTCAGTATAGATTTTCGACTTCACTATTTTCGTTAACTTATACAGCGTTCGTACTCTAAAATGATGACGATGTTGCTATGATGGTTAATGCTCAGAATCAAAATTCAGACGATGTTACACAAACATATGTCATATTTGTTAAAGTGTCTATGGTTCATGGTATGTTATTATGCTCTCACTATGTATTGACTCAACAAGTTGATCAAGTTGATATCCTAACTCAAGTAATGTGTAATAATTTTACCTTGTTAATAGAAAATTCATATTCTGGTACCATTCTATTAAGCTCAACGAAGAGGCATTCATCATCAACTTGTAACGATATGAACCGAAATGGCTAAACAAATAATTTGTATAGAAACATTGCTTCCAATTCAAGAGGAAGACATTCATCTGCCAATTTCTTTGACCTGAATATAGAGATTCCCTCAATACAACAATCTATTCAATACCCATTTGACACGATGCCTTCAAGTTCCAAGGGGAGACATTTAACTGCGAGCTTCTTCAACCTCAATGTGGAGATGTCTACGACACAACAGTCAATTCAAAACACATATGACATGATGCCTTCAAGTTCAAGAGGCAGGCATTACACTACCAGCTTGTTCGACCTAAATACCAGCATCACAGAGGAACCCTCATCTCCACCAGAAGAACCTTTTCGTGACCCAGGTGCGGATAGTGTTGAGACTTGACTATTTGTTGAGCCAAAATCACCGTAGTTAAACATAGATTCTGATAATGATGATGTAGATGAAGTTCCCATAAATACGGCACGCACCGAAACCGCAACACACATGTATGAAGTTGACTATGATGCAATGTAATGGCCATAATTTTTGGATATACATAATGTTGGTGTCTACGGATTTAACTCATCAGTCATTGATGGTGAGTTATATATATCATAATAGAGTTTTCATCCAAAGAAGAAATGATGATTGTAATTAATAATTACAAAATTTGTGATTATGTTAACTCCAGAGTCGACCGATCTACCACTAAAAAGTATGTCTACCATTGTGTCCAACGTGATAACAAATACAACTGGATGGTTAGTGTATAGAAGAGGAAGAGGAAAAACAACATATTAGAACTAAAAGTATATAACGGTCATCGCACATACTATATTTGAGGAATTAACTAGGATCATCCCAACTTGGACTCCGACATTATCTACCAAACCATCATGCCCATAGTAAAAGCAAACTCTCATATAGCTATTGTGGTGTTGATTGCAACTATACAATATCAATATGAGTACACCGTCTCTTATAGGAAAGCATGGAAGGGAAAGTATAATGCAATTAAAAAACTTCAAGACGAGTGATATTCATCTTATAATGAACTACCAAGTTGGTTTAACGTAGTACGCAAACTGAATCCTGAGACAGTAGTCAACTTTGAAACTTGTCATGTATACCGCAGTGATCAAGTGTTTCGTGATCGATGTCAATTCTATCGGCTTTTTTAGACTTGCCCATAGTGTATTAATGTAGTGAAATACTGTAAGCTCGTGGTCCAAATTGATAAAACATCATTGTATGGAAAATAAAAGCAAGTTTTACTATTGGTCATTGTCTAATATGGTAACCGTAACATTATTCCAGTTGTTTTTGCCCTTGTTGAAGGTGAAGATACATATTCTTAGGCTTTATCATAAACTTAATCTCATGTTATCACGAGGGAAAAAATATGCATTATTTCATATGGCGAAGCTAGAATCAAAGCAGCAATGGATTATTTGGGTCCAATGTGGCAACCGTCCCATGTCTAACATCGGTATTGTATCTGACATATTATTGTAAACTATCATGGAATTTTTTTAAAAAAATATGAATGTTAATTACTTATGTGTATGGGTATGTCACAATGTCTAATTTTATTTCTCAATCATTTTCATTTTTATGGGAACTTAACAATAAGTATTACATTTGACGAGCATATTACGAATTATTACCTCAAACGTTGGAGTCAATGCTTCAAGATTTGCGATGAAAAAATGAGCAATAATACAATTACATCATCATGAACAATAAATAAATGTGGACAAATGCATACGATGGCGGATTTCGATATAGACATATGATAATCAACTTAGCTGAGGCTATCAATTTGACCTTGAAGGGGAAACTCCATTTACTAGTAACAATTTTAGTTAAAACGACTTATTTTCGTTTAGAAGCGTTTTTTTCCAAACTCGGGCGGACAAACTTTAACTTGAATGCAAAACGATTTTGTTTATCCCCCAAGATTAGTTGCATATATATTAAAAAAATTGATGCATCAACTGGAATGTCTGTAACAAGTTTTTCTCGAACCCATGAATTATTTCATGTGAGTTTTTTCAAGCACTGAATTATCAATGCTCCCATGTCATAGCAACTTGCTCTTATACCCGTCAAGACTATAATCATTTTGTGGATCTCGTATATTAATTTTTAATCTTATTTAATGTATATGAATTAGAGTTCCCTCGATAGGCAATAAAAAAACCATACGAGGTTCAAAATTAACTTACGATTGTACTATATATGTCCTTATTAAGGGAGACATGTCATCCAAAATCCATTTGAATTCATTGTGATATAGATATTCGAGAGACGTCCAAAGAAAATAAAAGATGTGGGTGTTGTAGAAACCTAGGCTACAATAGGAAAAAATGTTTATCTCTTTTATCATCACGTAATCATTGAGCAACACCATGTAATTGTTGTTTCTGAAATCTCAGTTTGTGTTGTTTTTTTTTACTTTCAATTAATGTCATTTGAGCATTACCATATAAATAAAAACAATAAATACTCTAAGAAAATTAAATAAAAACATTACAAACTAAATAATAAAAATAATTAAATAGAAACATTAAAAACTAAACATTAAGAAACAAAATAAATAAAAAGTACATAATTTATTACATTTTATGATAAACAAAGAAAATTAAATAAAAACATTAAAAACTAAACAAGTTTATTGATGTTTGTGTCTTTAATGTGTTCTACAGGGCGGTAACTATATAATCTGATGAGGATCTCTTCGTATAACTTACTATTCCTCCTCATTCTCGTCATCATCAGCAGCAGCAACATATATATCTATATTTTGTTGATGAGGTACGAGTGATGATGTAGCATCCTCATAAAATAAAAACCATGTAGGTAGGTGACTAACCATCTCACTCATCATGGAGAATCATGAAAACTAAGAAAACATCGACATCAATGACTGCGATCCATACTGATCCAGAGGTTTCTATGTTTGTGGTGAAATATCACCCACCAAATAAGCAACATATGAAGCTCATGCTAGATCCATAAGCATCTTAGTATAATATTTTCCAAGAGGTGTCATAAAACTCTACGGTGGTGGTATATGAATTGGCTGTTGTGGCATTTGAAACAGTTTCGGTGTCATCTGAAATAATTGTGATGCCATCTGAATAGCGATGTACCAATGTACAGTGGCGGACTGAGAATGTAAAATCAACGTAGACAATGAATGTTGTGCTGGTTCTGGTGTTGTAGTTGAGGATGAG